AGGTGCTTCTCCATTTACCTTACATAGCACCTGATCTCGGATATACTAATACCGGCCCTGAATTCCACTTTGTGTCCGTGCAAACTGTGCCTGCTTGGCTTTGCAAGCACAAGTTCTGAATATTGTTCTCTGGGTGGAAGGTGTTGTCTTTTGCTTTGCATTTTGTGAGGAGTGTCACTTCCTGAATGGTAAAACTACTTAGGATGTTAAACCCACTTCTGATAAAAGATGATGAGGTGCGTGTGCATTAAATGACACATGTACTTGATTCTTGCTATTAGAAGAAACTGCTTCTTAAATTTTTTACTTCCCGCACCAACTGAATGGCAAACTTTTGTCACCTTTGAGGTGATAGCAGCATTTTCTCAGATTGCAATGGCAGCATTACTTCTTGAGAAAAGTTACACATTCGTAGTAATTTTGCTGAATGTTCTGGATATATTTCCTGGATAAAGTTGTATTAGAAGCATGAGATGCAGAAATTGTAGTGAATGATATGTTAATCTGTAAGGTAGACACTTTGGATGATTAGATTTCAAGTGGATATTTGCAGCTGCGCTAAATCAGGAAGAGTGAAGTTTAAAAATATTTTATTTTCAGGGCTACCAAGGAGACAATTCAGTATTGCAGTGCTGCAGAAATGTCTGTATTTAAAATTTGTGACTCGGGCTGTCTTTAGATGGATAAAATGCAGTAGAAAACAGTCATTAGTTCATGGGCTATGAAAAACTTTGGCAGAGGAAGGGAAACTGTTTTGTGTTGCGGGAAGAGGGGGACTTAGAAGCTATGTCCCCCAGCTTTGAAATAAGAACTTAAAGCCTCTAAGCTTGTTGTTGGGGGTTTTTTTTGTTTGTTTGTTTGTTTGTTTTTCCTTTGTGATACTGCAAGACAGCATATATTAAGAACACTTGTTCTTTAATTTCAAAATGTGAAGATACTATATTTATAAATATCTGATGTTTGGGTAGGTGACTTCTGAAAGCATACTTAGAGATTTTCACTGTAAGGGTAGAGATACTGCCTTTATCATAGATATCTTGTATTCAACATACCAATTAGTCATTAAAGTACAAAAATAATTTGCAAACAAATCAAGGAATTTTATCTGACTAAAAATCTTTTTTTGATTGACTTATCACAGTGTCTTCCAGGCTCTACAAGAATTAGACAAGTAGAATCTCATCCCCACCATAGAAACTTGTTTCCAAAGAAGAAAAAAATCTTAACAATTTAGAGTTCATCTGAAGGCCTGTGAGTGTATGAGAAACTCCAATGGAAAATAGAGTACAAGAAGTCAGTCGCTCATTTTACTGTGACCTGTGGTATCTTCTGAATTGTAAGGTACAGCCATATAGCCCACCTATACCTTTCTTCTTCTGTGCAACAAAGTCAAGCTCAGTTGCACAAAACATAGCCAGTCCAGTATATTTTTCCACAGAGACAATTTGTGAAGCAATTTGTTCATGCACGGAAACCCCCCCCCATGTTTAATAAACTTAGTACAATATCCTGCATTTACACTAGCCCTACATTCAGCTGTGTTGCCATCGATGCCTTGTTGCCTTCTGAAGTTTGACATTGTTCCAAACATCTGTGCTGAATGGAGGATTCATGTTACCTGGAAAAGTCAAACTGCAATAATTTCTTCTCTACCTCCAAGGGAATTTTCTTTATTGTTTGGGACTTATCCAAAAATCCTTTCTGATTCCTGAGGAGTAGTGCTTAGGAATGATGTGGAGGGAGGGATTATCTTGTGCAAATTAATACTGTGGGTAGTTACAGGACTTAACTGACTAATTTCCAGAAAATTTGGTTGATTTAGCTACGTTCCATGTGCTTTGCAGCAGAGATGAAAATAAGTCACCAAAATACCAAAGTGGTGATAGGGGCAGCCTTTCGAGCACTGATTTGCTGTATTTATCACCATTTGACCGCCCCTGGCCACATGGGAGGGAGCTCAGCCCTAGAGTGAAGTACAACGTTACTACTTATTTCCTTTTTAGTAAGTATTAAAAGGATTCTTCCTTTCAGATTAGTTAAAGCTAAAGAGAAGCAATGCTATTAAAATTAGTTGCTTCTCTGGTGAAGATGATCCTGTGCGTTTGTCTCTGGCCTGTGAAACATAGCTGTGATTCAGTCATGATTTCTGTAGCTAGAAAATACACAGTATATTTCAAGTCCCATTATTCCCTGTTGGGCAAACAGAACACATGCTTATGTAAGAAAATTTTTAATAAAATTTTAAGCAAGGCATTAAAAAGAGGAATTTGTAAGAAAATACTGTAAACAATTTTATGTTAAAACCCAATTGCATGTAATTAATATTGTGATATTAGTGACTTCTCGCTGTTGATTATAGGTGACAAAGTAAATAGACTATTTGCATCCTCTGGCATTTGGGAGTTTGCATTCAAGCCTCTTTGCTTTAATCTGCTTGGAATTATTTATAACAAAGTTATTGCTGTCTTGTTTAATAGCTACATCTTTGTTGGACCAGACTAATTACTTTACAATGTTGTAAAAGTACGTGTAGAGCTTGTAGATTAGATCCTGGCTGAAATCTTCGGGAGAAGTTTGAGTTAGGTGCTGCAAAGTGTTGATGAACCAGTCTTTTTTCAGTTCATTTTAATCTTTTGTTGTCCATGTATAAAGCTTACAAAATTAGTGATTCCTTGAAAGCTGGAAGGCAAAAATATCAGAGCTGAGCTTAAAGTTAATTCTAAAATAAGTAAAAACTTGTGGTGGGAAAATGCATAGCATTCTGTCCTGTAGAGACGCTTCTTCTGTACCCTTTTTGTCCTCATCTGAGAGCAGATCCAAAAAAGGAGTTGTCTTTGCAGCAGTGAACTCCCAGTACTTGGCCTGACTGAAATTCAGAACTGTGTGTTAGGTACGTGGGCTGCTTGTGAAGTTCATAGAGATAAGTAGGACTTCAGAAGAGGAGCAGCCTACAAACAGAACGCTTAATGTATGGCTAGTCATTGAGGATACTCTAAAACCAGGAATGGATCTTGCATGTTTTAGGCAGTGGTGGTTTAATGTAAAACATAGAAATAGCTGTGAACTTGAGTGTTGGCCTGCTTCTGAAGGGAGTGTGCTGCCTGCTAGCTGCTTTGCTTCTGGACCCAGGGATCCTGGATTACCTGCTACTGTCATGCATGGTTTCAGGATTCAAAGGTAATGCTAGTCAGAGGATCGCAGAAAGCCTGTTACATACAGCTGGTCTTTCTTTTCTGGTTATGTATAGTGCTTCATTCATTTCATCATCTTTGCATTATCACATATTTTAAACTATATGCTACAGATATATGTTTTTCAACTTGCGAATGTGCATCTAACACCCACAGTATGGTGTCACAGGGTGTTGCCTTGCACTGGTTTCTAAGATACTTAGACATTTCTTTAAGGATTTTGTGGAATTTATTGTTAAATGTGTTCCTCACCTGTAGCAATGTGGACATTATTAGCTATGGTTGTAGCACAGCTGTATGCAGCCAGCCTTTCAAACTGTTTTTTTTTTTTCCCCTGTGCTAAGAAGTCATGGGTTTATATGACAATGTGTCCAGTCTTTTAATTTGCCCTGCATTTTTTTTAAGTCCTGTGTGAAGCTCAGCTGTTTACACTTTTAGTAAATCCTTTAGCATATCTTTATGAATAATTTATTTTTACAGATGCATTTAAAACCATCAGTTTGTTAGGGAAAGGTCTTCTCCCCCTCTGCCTACTGGAGTTGCAAGGTTTTGGGGTTGTAAGGGTTTCCAAATCATGTCTTAGCTTCCTTTCTCTGAAAATCTTTGCACTTTTTTTTTTTTAATTTGATTTGTTACCCTGGTTTAGTCTCCTTCCATTTATTTTGTTTCCTATTTCTACTTTCCTGTACATTATTTTGTTGACAAAACACTCGGCTTAGTGTTAATATATTGCCTTCTGTCTACGCTGTCTCTTGCCTTCCTGTATTTTGAGTTTAAGTACTTGTTGGCATCCCTACCTAAGGATGAACTACAACGAAATGTGGTGAGCTAATGCACTAGTGTGCTGTTGCCAGAAGGGAAAAGTTCTGTTTCTTCTACAATCCCCTTCCTACGTCTCCCATCTTTGAACATCCCCTACTTGCTTTTTCTCTGGCTTTCAGTAGACTCACATATGCATTGACTGAGCTCACTGCTTGCAGAACATAAACCCAGCTGCATTAGAGAATTAAATCAGCTCAACAAAAGGTCCAAAGAGTTCAAGATGGCTACGCGGGATTGTGTGGCAGAGAAAAGGAGAGAAAGCAAGACCTTTTGTGTCACTGAGCTATTGTATTGGCTTGTATAATTTCATGTTGGAGGTGTAATTTGACAATAGATTTAACTGATCTAAGTTAGGGCTGCTCCACCTCCAGCTGTGTCTTCCCGTTTATCTCTGTCTTTTGCCATCACAGTTCTGTTTGTGCCTCTGCAATAGAACGATTCAGGGAACTGAACTTTAAAAAAGTGACTTTTTGTCAAGGTTAGTTTTCAGCTGATTTCAGTTACCTTACCAGGAGTCTGGGTAGCCACAGGAACCTCCCTGGAAGGAAGAGGGTCTGGAAGGCATGCCTGAAGGCAGGGGAGGTAGCAGCATCGCTTAATCAGTTCGTGCAGTTTTAGAACTGCATCCTTACAGAGGCAGTAGCACAACAGAGTGTGAAGTGGGTTGAGGATTTGCTGCAAACTTTTCACTATGACATGTTCATGATCCACGTACGTCCTTCATAAAACTGGCTATTTAGTATGAAGAAATTGGTTATCAAATTCTTTCCAGGTGAATAGAAGTTAAATAAACATGTAGAAGCTTTCTGCCTGAGGAGTTTCAGTTCCTGTTTCTTCTCCAGTTCGTATGAAATAACAAATGGTTCAAAAAAGGGCAAGTCAGTGCATGTACAACCCTTTGGGAGCATCTTGCGAGATAAGCTATCTACTTGAGTGACATAATTGAAATGGAGAAGGAAAAGTAAACATAATACAACTTTTTAAACTGTGTAAATGAATGAAGAGGAAGGGAAGTGAACTTCTGAAGCAGGAGAGCTTGGACTTCTATCTTGTAGTCAGACAGCACTGACAGAGAGCGAACTCTTAGTGGTTGGGAGAATGACAGTGACTGGCACCTGTGTTTTTGGGGTTGGAATGAAAATATGCCTGGTGAATGAAAATTCCATATGAACTCTTAGTGTATTCCCTTACTCTTTTCTAGGTAGATTTTATTTGTGTATGGCTACTTCTGCTCTTGCTAAAACCAACCCTTAACCCAACTTAACTATCTGTGGGGGTTTCTTTGGCTTCTTTGACTGGACAACCTGTGAGTAGGGAATTAGGACACAAGTTTGTTGAAAAATTCAGTGTTAGTTATTTCCATATAGATGGGTGATAGCTACTTGTAGATTAACAAGTGCTGAGAATCTGTGTTGTCCACAATCAAGGCTGTCCCTACAGAGGGGAGGAATGTTCTGCCATCCCACAGGGAATATTGATCTGGCGGTATATTAAAAAAACAAAGGATTTAAATAACTCACTGTAATATTTTATTTACTACGTTACATTGTGGACTGTATGTTTCTCATAATTTCTGATTAACAGCAGACCAATAAAAAGTTAAGTATTTTTGAGAAACGGACAATGTGGGCTGACTGCAGGAGCATGACTAGTCACAGATCGTGAAGCTCAGTGGAAAGACATTGATTGGCTGCTCTTTTTAAATGTTGAAAGTGTTTCAGCATTATTTCATCATTTCTAATGCTGTCTTTAAGCTGGGTGTGTATCTTTATGAATGGATGGCATGGTAATGTACAGGTATTTAACCAGATTTCATCCTAATTCCTGACTAACATAGACCATTATTTACTGAAAAGACACTGTGCATATCCTGTGCTGTCATTCCTGTTCCTTGAAAATTTGTCTTTTTCAGTTGGAATCTCTTGCCACTCATGTTAAATATACCCATATTAAGTATGAGTTTGGAATGCCAGTGGTAAAAAGGTATATGAAAAGCTTTTTGAAAACTATTTTAGCACTTAAACTACAATCCAGGTGAGTTTCATCTTTCCAGTTACATTTAGGAGTGGGTGGTTGGTGAACCGTAACAAAACCAATTTGAAGTGAGAGAGCAGAATTTTAGGTAAACTGCTGAGGGTGTTGGTTTTCTTGTGCTTTTTGGAGATGCTGAGATACAGGAAGTGTATAAAGGCTTTGGACACGTCAGTGTTTTGAGGGCTGCTTCTGGGGTAGTGTATGTGGGTATGTACAGTGTATGTAGTGTATGTTTTCTAAGTATTCCCCAGTTTTTAGGAATGCACTGCAAATATTATCTGTGAAACTGAATTGACTTTCACTTTGCAAGTAAAATATTTCTGTTACGACATCAAAACATACATATTTCTCCTTTTCAATGGTTTATGCAGAACACCGTGAGAAAATTACATTTTAACACTAAGAATTACAGTAGATTTAGATTCAAAGTTAGTTTGCTTTATTGGACATGCCTTCTGACTTCCCATTTCTTTGGCAGCACAGCTATGTGGTTTTCATTTAACATAACACGAACAAGAAAGTTGGGATGCTCTGTTGACAACTACCAATATTCTCTGCTTCATCCAGATCTTCCCCAAGTGAGTCCTGAGCCCCTGCTTTTAAAATCACTTTGAATATTCATAAACTGCAACCTGCACCCCGGCTGCCAGCGTTGAGTGGGTGCTGAAGACAGTGACCCAACGAAGTGTGGGCCAGGTTTGACCAGGAAGCCCATTCCCTCCAAACAGCTAATCTTTTTTTCCTTAGAAGAGGTAAAGAATGACTGTTAAGTCAGTATGTTTTATAAAGCAGTAGGATGGCTGTTTCTTAACCTGCTTGCATCAGGCATAACGAATAAGCTGTTATTGCTGTGTTACCAAAGGGAAAAAGTTTGTGTCCTCCCAAAAGGTTTGTGGCTTTCATCTGGGAGCTGAGAGTTGCCGTTATGTCAGAGAGCAGAGCTGGAATCGGAATGGCACGCTTGGGCTCCCTGGCATAAACTGCTGGGATTAACACCCACGTGGTGGGATGGGTGATTGTATGTTACTTTTTGCTTTGCATATTCAGTAAGGCATTTGATTTGTAAACCCTTGTTTCCAGAGCACGGTTGTGTGGGGGTGTTTTTTGTTTTGTTTGGTTTTTTTTTTTTAAGTTTCAACTAGGGTGACCATTTGAATGTTCTACCTAGGCTCAAATTGTGCTGGGTAGCTGAGAATGATCCTTATCTTTGAATTTAATTAGCAAAGATAGTTCAAAAGCTTAGGGATCTAAAATTTGTCATTCAAAATGTGTGTTACATGCTGAAGAATCTAACTTGTTGACACCAAAAAGTAAGGAGCATGTACAGCGTTAAATGGGTAGCTCTTTCTGGAGGGCCTCAGCTCTAAGCTGTCTAAAATAATATAATGGTTATAGTCAAAACTAAAAATACCTGCCTTAATTGATGGTGTAACCCAGAAGTAAATATAGTACATTCTGTCCTTTGTGAACAGCAACCAAAGTGACCGTGTGCCTGATAAGCACATTGTGAACAGTGTAACTTGATGTTTCTGTGTTTGCAGTTATGTGGAGTAGTTACATCTATATTCTGCAGAAGAAAAATCCCTCAGACTTTCAGATTCTCAGCAGAACTGTAACACTCTGGATATTCTTTTAAGTAGATACTTATTTAAAAGTATAGCTGTTTCTTCTTTTACATTGATTATGAAATGTCTCCACTTATGACCCAAGATTAACCATAATGTATAGCATGTAGCTAATGGAAACCATGTATCATTGAGACTATTAATGATGTTTTCCACAGGAAAACATTGTATTTTTTGTTGTTGTAGAACTGCCATCTGTTAAAGCAATAACATTATTGCCTGAATACCATGAAATGTATTTCAGTGTGAATGGTTTATGGACTTTGAGCTATGAAAATAGTGTTTAAAAAGCATGTTTCATGTGATTAGGCAGTGCATTTAAGCTTTTTCTCCTGAAATAATTTGATCATGTTTATAAAGACGTAGTTGCAAGACCTAATGTCACAAGGATTTAAAGTTTTTCCCAGGTATCTTTCTTTCTTTTAAAAATGTTATTTTAAAATATATTCTGGTGAAATGTCAGCGATGAGCCCTGGTTCCTTTTCAGGAGTAGGTCCTCTGCTCAGATTTCACTAAGAGTTGTGGGTGGTCTTACCTCTCCTCTAAGAGACTGGTGGAAACCACCTGGAAAGCTGAGTGCTGGCTGTGGGACGTGAGCTTCTGTTGGGGTGTAGGAAGGTGCCCTTGCATTTTGGGCTGCTTTCTGTCTTTGTATGATCTTTAGATGTATGGGCAGATATTGGAGAGCTTTGACAGGTGGCCGCTAAGGAAGTGAATAAGGACAGTGAGTCCTGTGTACGAAGAAAGGAAGAGGTGTTATTCCCACTTCAGGCAGTTGCAGTTTGATAAGCTAATTTACTAGTGAGGACTTAACTTCCTTTCGCTGTATAGCGGACTTAGGGCATGGAGTAAATAGTGTCCATTAAGGGAGTTGCTATGTAATTGTAATGTCAAATGAAAAATTGGTTGTGTTGTCTGTATCCCCAGGTACTTCATCCTGCATCTGTTATGTATAGGTGGCACCTACTGTTTTGGTCAACTGAAAAAGGCAAAGATTTAAAGCTTTAGTAGTTAACCAAAAGTCTTCTCATACCTGCAAAGTATTAGTAACCATAATTGAAGTATAATATTTAGTGTATATGCTTGTGTTCCTGTGTTTGCCATTGTGTACAGGTTCATCGGAATCCAAATGATTTTCATCTTCAGAATGATGAAAATCATCTTTGCAAGATAAATGATTCAGAGTATCTTTCATTGTTGCTATCTTTGCAAGTGGTATGGTGAAGGCAAGGAGTCCTTTCCTCCTACATGATCAATATGAAAGCGTTTAAAAACATTGGTTTTGTTTGGCACTTTGGAAGTTTTGAGTGGTGGTGGTATAGTTGGCTCGCCTCTCGCTTCGTCTGTTGTCTGTTTTCCATGAACCAATGGATATAGTGGTGATGGATTTGCAGAAGGTGGTCATTGTATTACTTGTTTAAAGAGGTGACAGGCATGTCACATTTAAACGTGTTTTATATTTGCTTTTCAATTTTAAACAAGCGGTAACTATTTGGCAGTATTTGTAGTGTCTTTTTCACCATAAACTAGAACTTAAAAACCGTCTTTGGAAGAGTAATAATTATTGTCTAAAATTTAAAGATGATAAATATTATACCACTATGTTTTGACCTCTGGAGTTTATTAACAAGGTGAAAGGCATGCCTCACTGTGAAAGCAGTCTTGAAACAGCAAAGTCAAATTCTTGCTTATGTTGACAAACAGTACAAAAGATTCATTTTGTATCCTTGGCATTTTTTTGCATCTTTGGCATTTTGTATCATCAAAATGCCAAATTACTCTAAAATGTGAATCTATCATGCAGTCTTGAAAGACAAAAACAAGTTAAAAAAATAAAAGAACTTCCATATATGGACAGAAAATACCAATCTCTACCTTTCCTCTGCAAAAGCAACAACAAATCCACAAGTTAATTAATCTTCTATGCTTCCTATGGTAGAATGTATTTGTTACCTCTTTAGTTTGCTTGCTTTTATTATAAGAACAAGCCACAGAGGATAGAGCCACTTGCAGTGGTAGTGATACGACTTCTCCATTTTCTACCCTTTCCCCAAATTCAAAAAGGAAAAAAAGAAAAAGAAGACACATTCCAAACACTTCCAGTCAGTGCTTCTGACTGCTCAGATGAGATGAGTGGGTTATATAGTACCTGAATCAATATACATCATCTAAACACTTCAGCTTAGACTTCATTAGTTTTGGATAAATGCCTGCAATAGAGGATAAAGAGTTTTGTATTTACTACTTTTCCCTGGGGATTTTGAAACAAGTGTTTGTGACCCATAGGAATTGTCTATTGGTGCATTACATGGTCAACAGTCTTCAATATGTAAACGTATTGGTAAAACACATTGCAAAACTTTGAGTAGAAATACTGATGGTATTGAAAAGATTAAAATTCTTATAAAGGCTCTTCAAAGTAGCACTTCAGAAAAGTATTTTGGCAGTTTAGGTTCATAGTTGGGAATAGAGGCTGCGCTCCTAAGATTGTATCTCAAAGCCTTCTTAGCTAGCTTGTCAGAAAGTTATGAGAGTACGTGTTTAGCTGTTTTCTATTGAGATAGAACTATTCTTTCATACTCTCTAAAATCTACAGATAGATAAATTAATGCTGCCCGTAGGTCGAAGGTACTGGCCAGCAGACATCTATGTGTTAAACAAGTGGTTGGTGCCTCTGAAGAATAATGGGGTGATGCAGCTTTTGTCAGACAGAGCCATTTGTCTGGCTCAATAATAAGTTCAGATGTGCATAGTGATTTATTTCATTTTATAGAACAACTTAACGTAAGAAAACTTCCTTTCCAAAACAGTGCAGGGCTGGAATAGTTAAATGTTAGTGAACTCAAGCACATGAATGAGAATTCTCCAGTTCTTCTGCTGATGTTTATGATCATAAATACAGATTGAATTACAGTGTAATGACTGTATTTCTCTTTTCAGGACATAAGGGACGCTTTTGCGTGGTAGAATGGATGAACAGTCACAAGGCATGCAGGGGCCTACTGCTCCACCATTTCAGCCACAGGTACTTCTTTTTTTTTTAAACAGTTACTGGTGAGCAGATGCTATCATTTCTTAAATAGGAAAAGAGAAAAGTTAGAAAACATTTTCTTCTGGTGACAAAGCAGCGGTAAACAGATAGAATGTATTCTGGTGATCTTGAAATTAATTAATATCAGTCCTATATTTCGTAGGAATAATTACTTTTAATTTTTGCCTCCTACTGCTTTACCAGCTTTGAGTGTTTGGAGTTGGAGTGGGAGTGGGAAGCAAAGATTAAGGAAGTTGTTTTCTGAGAAATGGTGAGCTGTTAAACACTGTATGTTTCAAAATTGCATCAGAATTACCATATTTATTTCAGACTGTTACCTTCAACTTTCTCTTCTTACGCCTCCTGATGGTGATACTATATGAATTAGTGCCATTACTTGTTGAAACCTGGCAAGAGAAATCCACAGTAGCTGTAGTTATGTTAGAAAGAAGATGCACATGAAATTTAATCTTTGGATATGTGTTGATGGTGTGAAACAAAGGATAAAGATTATATGATAAGAGAGAATATTGAGACATTGCTTTTTGACATTTTTTAGGAGGTAATTCTTTGAAGGGAGTGCAAGAGCCTGTAGAGGAATATTTACTATGGTGACCATTCTAAATTAAAAGCTGGACAGTTCTTAACAAAGCTGGAACCTAAATTTTGTGATTTCCTTCTTAACAGCATAGGTGATAGGGCAATTTGTCCCTTTATTTTATAAAAACGAAGGTGAATTCTAGCTTGTGAAACTTAGTAAATTTACAATAACAAGCTTTCCTTAGCTCCAGTGTTTTTATTATAGCATTGTCATAGCAAAAAATCTGGATTTAATAGCATTTATACCAATGCAAAACAGTTAGAAATTTAAGACAAATATATAGCTATGCATACAGGTATTTTGAGAAAATACATTTGTAATTTTGAAACAAAAAAAATTCTTAAAAGACATATTATGAATATTACAAAGGGTCCTCATTATTACTTTTTTCTTTGCTGACTAAAGAGAAAATAGAACACAGCTGATGAAGGTTTCTTTATTTCTGGGAAACCTTCCTGTGTTTTCTGTTTGCTACAGCTCTTGTATTTCCTCATCTATGTCCTGAGTGTTTGAATACCTGTTTCTGATTCACAGAATCAACTTTCTGAGGACTCATTCAATTTTAGGAATTTTAATGTAACATACAAATTTAGTGTATGAATTCATACCAGTAAAATACGCTTCTGTTTTTACGGTTCTGAGTAATATGGCTCATCTACAGGTATCCAGTTTCTTTTGTGGTAAACTAAGGGCAGGCCTAAAAGCAATACTGCTGTAATCAGTTAGACACTTTCTACAAAAGAAGAAACTAATGTTTATTGTTGGCTTTGGTTAACTGTCAAGTGTTCTCATAATCTGTGTCTCATTACTCTTTTAAAATAAATTACTGTGTAAACTGCACTAAATACAATTTTTGTGATTTGTTTTTTCTGGAGACAAAAGATTTTGGGTTTGTGGATCTAAGCTGGACCTGCAGCAGAATATTGACTGTTTTGCATTTCAAGGGGTAACGAGTGAAGGGGAGCAAGAATGCTCTGATAGTCATGTTGCCAGGCGTAATACCAAAATAGTCATTCTCATGTTCAACAGTCATTCATACATGTTCTCATCTTGTTAATTCAAATTGTTTTTTTCTGTGAGCCAGATCCATAAGAATTAAAGTATGTATTTCTCTGCTAATGGAGCATGTTTGTGGTGAAAACTAGTAATAAAAAGATGTTACTGTACTAATTGCTGATACATTTAGGAGAAGCAAG